AAAGAAGGTGTGTGGGTGCCTCACGAACTCTCCGATGATCATTGTTTCTAATATGTGAGCGTTGCTTTTTCTCTTCTGGCGCGTAATGCGCGTGAATCATTTCTGGACAGAATTGCCACTGGTGATGAAAATTGGATTCTCTATACGAATATTAAACGCCAAAAACAAGGCTCAGTCGTAAACAAAAACCACTTCCGACCCAAAAACTTGGACTCCATCTGCAAAAAGTGATGCTTTGCATTTGGTGGGACATGAAAGGAGTAATTCATTTCGAACTTCTCAATCCGCAGCGAACTGTCAATGCAGAGATCTATAGTCAGCAACTGGAACATTTAAATCAAGCCCTTCATCAGAAACGCCCTTCACTCGTCAATCAGAAAGGTGTTCTTTATCTGAACGACAATATACGTCCACATGTGGCACTTTTGACGCAACACAAGATTATGGAGTTGGGTTGGGAAATTCTCCCCCACCTACTATATTCTCCAGATATGGTACTATCAGATTACCATTTTTTTTTACTCGCTGCAACACCATCTTCATGGGAAAATATGCAAATATGGAGACTATTTCTTTTAATATACGTTTTGTTTTGATATATTTGTTTTGTTCAGGGTGTTTCATCTAAAAAAAGCATCATTAATTTCTTGACGACCTAATACTAGAGGAAAGGCAGTCAGTCAATAACACGCATTGACAACTATTAGGCTACTCAACGTTTTACCGAATGGTGGGATTTGACCTTTATTAGTTATTACGCACCAACCACCCCTATGTGCATAGCTCGGTTTTACCAAAAGGGTACACCCGACCCAGCAAAATAGTGTCATGTGTTTTGAGTATAAAAGGCATCTAAATACGCTGACTCATTCTTTTTCCTTTGTCCAAGCCTACTCCCCCCACCTTCCCTGGCACAATACTAAGCTTGAGAGTAGAGTTCGCATGCCAACATTCGAACTTCGATTACAAACAAACAAATAAGCTTGTTATTTGTGAGCTATTTTTAACTCTTAACAAGTATCTGAGTCATCTACCAGTTGTATAATAGCACTGCTGAAAGCGCTTTGCTTAACAGTATTAAGACGTAAAACATAGCTCGTCATTACTGTTTTGAATATTTTGAGACAAAGAAACTTATAATATTTGTATTGATTTAGCCATCTAACAAAATATTTCTTGCAAGTTTTTGTGTAGGTGTTAAAGAAATCTACTCATACCTTTGCATTTTTTTTATCTGTGAAGAAACTATATTTTATATTTCATTTGCTGGGCTCCCTAGCCAGGTGGTTGACTTGCAATCTGAGGGTCACGGGCTCAAATCTCCGTCTCATCAAACATGCTCGCGTTATGATATGACGGTCAATCCCTCCATTCGTTGGTAAAAGAGTATCCCAATTGTTGGCGGTGTGTGGTGATGACTAGCTGCGTCCCCCCTAGTCTTTTACTGCAAAATTAGGGATGGTTAGCGCAGATAGCCCTCGTTTATCTTTGCGCGACATTCAAACCAAACTAAGCTGAACTCTTAGTGGCTCAACAGATAACACATTGTGTAGCTTTGTGTTTAATAACAAATAAACAAATTAATATGCTGTATAGAAGAAAGAATGCTATTACTATAATCAGTACAGAATTATCCATCCCCCATTAAAGCTATCAAAGAGAACTGCAAAAGTAACACCTTTTGTAGCAAAACTTACAACGAATAGTATTTCTCCTTACTGTGTTTTAAAAATAGCATAAGGACAAGTCTATAAGGTGGGAGTTTTCTCCACCCTTCAACTTTCTTTACTTGCATATACTGTAGTATGCTCACTTTATCAATACGTGTTGTAAATACGAAAGTGCACCAAAACTGATTTGAATCTTGCCCAAAGATCACCAGTAAAAACGGCACATCTCACTGTGTGTACTAACTTTTCACATTCCGCCTTCATTCTTTGTCTGATTCATTAGAAGTGTTAATGATGACTGTTGTAGTATCCTGAACATATTCAGGTATGGAAGTTGGTCATGTGAGCCTGCATTCAAGGAACCACGGTCTGGCATGACCTGAGGGTTAGGGTACTCGACTCGCATTCTGCGGGTCAAGGGTTTGAATCCTGTGACCGAACATGCTCAGCCTTTCAGCTATGGAGGCATTATAATGTGGTAGTCAATATAATTATTCGTTGATAAAAGAGTAGCCAAGAGTTGGCTGTGGGTGGTGTTGACTAGCTACCTACTTTCTAGTCTATCGCTTCAAAGTTAAAGACGGCTAGTGCAGAAAAGAACCACAAAACAGACACTGTGTTCGCTCAACGCCACACCATTCTTGCGCAAGCAACACGAGAGTAGTATAGGGGAGGAGGATCATTCTGACTGTCATGCTTGAATAAGAGTACACCTTAGTGTATGGCAATACTGAATTTTTTGGGTAGAGAAGACCACTCATTTCACTATTAACCTACATATGGTACAGCCTATCTTCAAATAAATGCTATTATATGTATGATATCGCCTTCTTTAGCCACTGTGATCCAATGTCACTGACATCAGAAATTTTTCAGACAACAGTAGAAAGTCCAAAGCTGCATCGCCTGTTTCAGTCTTTTTCCACATCAACCTCTTTTGCTCTTAATTCTTCGGACTCTGCAGTCTATTTTAATCTACTCATTTTCATAAGTTCAAACATGCATTAAGTGGCAATAACATCAGCTTCTGTGTTTTGTATGAGAGCAAACCAATAGCAGTTACAAAGAGCACAGACAGTTCTACATAACCACTATAAAAGGAAATCGCGAGTTGGTAAATACCATGTTCAACAGCTTCCATTACTTTATACAACCATTTATTGCTTTTACCATCCAATGCACTATTATGAAAAGCCTTGAAAGGTTTATTCTCTAGGATGCTGGTTATACTATTTTATTTTTAGAAATAATTGCATCTGGATTTTCACAACCAGTATGTGAAGGATATCCAGTACATCTGTCCACAGCACCTAAAGTTATGTGGTTGTATCTAGTAAACTGACAAACAACAATTTGTAAGCATAATGAAATGGTTTTATTTTGGAAAAAAAAATACTACATGTTTCGACAGAACATTGGTCTGTCGTCTTCAAGGGCTTTCATCTTTGCACCTATGATCTAACACAAGACTGGTACAAACTGCTTTTTATACAAGTGAATTTTGCAGCACTGAATTTCAGCAGCTGCCCTTACTTATACTATGCCTAAAAATGCTTGGGTGCATACATCAAGTGGTAATACAATTAACCGAGTACATTTTAAGCACATGACACACAGAACCCGATTCTCAGTTGTTGAAGGTTAGGGGTTTACTCAAGAATACACCAAGACACTGAAATGTAGAAGAGAAGTGTAAACCTGGGTAACTTCTATCAGTTATACTTTCATCCAAATGGACTTCATCGGGTTTATGGCATTTGAAATAATAATACTGTTAATGGTACTTGGTATTAATGAAACCATTTTCGGCAGGAGTTTTTAGATGTATCTTCGTAATTCGCATTTATTTAGTCCTGATGTGCATCTTCTTCCGTGACATTGACACATGTATATTACTTTGGTATGAATGAATGATTTCCAGGCCAAATTACTTAAATAAGAGCTTATAAGTCACTTAGTAAGCAATATGGCAAAATATGTTTCGTTCCATAACTATTCTAGCATCTCAGTTTCATCGGATAATGTAATTTCTAATATGTACCCATGCAATTGGCTGTATTCAGCAAGCTGCAGTTTTATTGACTGATACGTATGATGTACATAAGATTTGTGTGGATTTGTTCAGTTGTTAAGTTTTCATGTTCTTCATTTCAGTCATAAAATAATAGTTCTGAACACTTTGAAATATAACAAAAGATGGATTTCTAAACGTGTACAAATGAATCTACAAAGAATTCAACATACATAAAAAAATGGATTTGGCAATAGGTAAATTCATTTCTGTAAACAGCTTCCGTAGGAAATGTTTAGCTTTTGAAATTAAGTTTCTGTTCTTCTTAAGAAAATGTTGTTTGTTGTCTTCTCTAATCAGTGCTAAGGTTTCTTTATCTTATTTAAAAATAGATTAAAATTATTATATATATATATATATATAAAGAACAGTGATTTTTTTAAATTATTGTAAATATATGTCTTCTTATGATATATTTAATACTTGGCCTTCGGCGCTATTGTAATTCATGAGATGTTTAAATCATATAACATTATATTAAAATCAGTTTAAGAGTCAAATCTATGAGTTATGATAATCAAATTAAAGAATTAAAATCAAATACAAATGGTTGTTGGCTATACACATTATGCTGAAGTTCATTTACTTGGTCTGTCATGTTTGTTAATGAGACAAGTGTGCGAGAAACATCACATATTGTTAGGTGACAAAAGGTTCTGAAACGGATGTATATTTAGGTTGTGTCTTGTAATGGTTTATTAATTGAAAAAATATTAAGCAAAGAAAGGTAAAGTGGCTGTAAAAATACGGAGAACTGTGTTATCACTACCCTTATACGTTATCTCTGAGTGCAATATTCCCTGCATGCCTCATTATCAGTTAGTATAAGCAGCACTATAATCGAAGCTTGTAGATGTTTTAAAACTCTTGGTTTTATTGCGACTTTAAATGTTTAGGGTTTTTAACGACGTCTAACAATATATACTATCGCGGTAGCTCTTTGTCTGCAATCACACTTAGGTGTCTTATAAATTACTGGAATATCTTGAAACCAAAATATCAGCATGAAACGTTTTTATGTAAGTATAAACGTTTCCACTTTGTTCTTGTTATTGACTGCCTTAATTTCTGTTGGAATATGCGAGAACATAAATGAAACAATTGATAACCTTTTCAACAACTGTTTGAACAATGTCTGCGATATGATACAGTGTCCTCCAGTGACCGAATGTCCAAACGGTGAAATAATCAACAGTGCTTCTCTTTGTGGGTGCTGTCCCCTCTGCGTTTCATACATAGGTATGGTCTATTTCGTATGATATCTGTACATGTCACGAACGTTTCTTTATCATTTTTCAGGTTTTATAATTTTTTTCCATTGATTTCGTCACCTTATAGCAAGTTTCATAGAAATAAAATATATTTTGTAAATATTATAACATGTTTTATGAAACTGCTTGTTTGTTTTAAAACAAAGCAGTATTGGAATGTGTCCACCACGGGGAATCGAACCCCGGATTTTAGCATTATAAGTTTGTAGCCTTACTGCTATCACATGATATTATTAGATAGAGGTAATAAAAAAGCTAACTTATTAAAGATCAAATAAATAAGATGTGAGATTACGAAATATTGTCAGACTTCACTCTTATGAAATCCGAATACAGATATATATAGAACAATAAAGCAATAAGAAGAAAAGACCTGTTTTTGTATAAGCTCAGTGCAAAATTAAGTGTGAGCTAAGATGATGAGGATATAATAAAAGAAGTATTTAAACGTTAAGATTTAAACCTAAATCTTTCAAGATGAGCTAGATACAGTCTTGCAGCTGATATGCAGCTAGGAACTAGAGAGAAGTGGATATATTCCATCTATCACATTCAACTTGATCCTCCCACTATAGTCACACTTGCGTATGACCATCATAATGATACTTAAGTCAACATAAGCTATTATTAGGTGAAAGTTCAAAACCTATAGTGTAAACCCATTCTCTTGGTGTTTCTCAATATGCCAAGAAAATAAATTTCACCATAAGCATATCTTATATTTGATAGATGCAAATTACATACAATCAAATGTTTGTTGTTAATGAATTAGATATAAAACACTTTCATATGTGCTATGATTTTCCATTACGACAAATCAAATTGGAATTAGAGGGACTGTTGTAATTAAGACTATTTGTTCCACATAAACCAATATTTAGGTGTATTTGTAAAATATAAGATTTGTGCTGTTTTTGTACGTGCGTTTCTGTTAGAGTGAAATTTCCATGTTTATATATATGTATATAATATAAAGCCAGAACAAGAGGTATCAGTTTTATGTCATATGATTTAAAATCTGTACAACATACTAACTTAGACCTCACATGTTTAAGTTCGGGTTAATGAATTTCAAAGATTTTTTTAAAATGTGGTGTAACGTTATTTCATTTTTCATATTCATTTGAGCGTGAAGTATTTTTATATGTTGGTGTATTATATATATGTGAATTATTTTTATATGTTGGTGTACTATATATATATATCTGTATACGTTGTCGCAGCTTTAAAAACGTTATATTAATAGAGAAATATTATGGAAGAAGCAAATAAGCCGTGGCACATAACAAAATGAAAAAAAATTAAAACTAGTTGGAACTTATGCTCTAGCATGTGATAAGCTATGATGGTATTTACAGTATCTTATCACTACAGAGTAGGTACATAACTAAACGATGAAACGAGATGAAGACTTTGACTTTGATATTAGTATATATCAGACTTGACATTAGATAAGACCTAATTCCTATTGGTTCATTCTAAACAGTCTACGTGAAAAAAAAATGTCGCATTAGCAACATGATTTCATCACATATTCACGACTTTGAAATATGATTGGTTGTTACATACAAACTGGAGTAGAGGATTTTCGCCATATAAACTTAATGAATTAAGTCAGTAAATGTGTTCTGAGCTCGCAGAAATGTTGAAGGTTATGTACGTTAGATTATATCATGAAATTATCATGTTATATCTACTAAAAGCCAATATTCCAAAAATATTATATAGTTACTCCTGAATTTTAAGCATCATAAAAAATATATTTCTATCACTTAATTAAATCGACGAAAGTACTCAGGTCAGTAAATTCAAATAAATAAATTATCTAAGACAAGACCAGATATTACTCATAAATATAAAAATTTTTGAATCTAGTAATTTAATTGCAATTGTAAATATTTCAACAGTGTGTTATTGAATTCTTCGTTTTCAATTCAGATTTACCGAAATTACAACTTTCTTTGCCATGGATAATTGTTTGTTTGTTTATAATTAAGCACAAAGCTAAGCAATGGGCTATCTGTGCTCTGCCCACCACGGGTATCGAAACCCGGTTTCTAGCGTTGTAAGTCCGCAGACATACCGCTGTGCCACTGGGTGGGGGCGCCATGGCTAATTGCTAATACTACTGATTTATTATTGTGTTTTTTAAATGTGGGGATGTATCCAGAGATGCTAAGTTTCGTGAGACTTTATACCGTGTGATTTATAACTTCATTAACAGGTAAATAATTTAGATAACTATATAACTGAGGTCTTTCAAGGTCATCTCGAAGGTCAAGACTCTCAGAAATTTCGTTAATATGCATCATACATTCAGAATGTTAATAGAAAAGATGTAAACGATAACAAATGAAACGTCTTAAACCAAAAATTACCAAACTCGCTCCGCCAGATAAACAGTTATATGCATAACTGCACTCCTTCCATTCATATGGAGTTGTGCTATAGAAAATTAAAATCCGATCATATATCTAAATTTGAAGTTTAAGGTCAGAATGTTGCATAAGCAGGTCATAGCGCTTTTGAATGGCCCAAAATATTTAAGTGTATTAAAATAAAAGCCCGAACATATGTTAGAACACAAGCATTGTGTGACAGTTTTTCTCAATCATCTAAATAATAACAAAGTAATCATTTGAGAAAAGTTTGTCATGGTTTTATTGTATAGAGAGTGACACCAGAATGCCAGTGTTGCTTCCAGATTGTATACTAACAGGTACATCGTCCTTCACATCAGATGATAGGGACTGTGTGTTAGCAAGTTCATTTACACCGTGCGATCAGACGAAAGACCAGAAGGCAGAATTAGCATAAAGTTGTCATTTTGGCATTTCTCACATATGGAAGCGTTTTAAAGATAGCTATTGATTGTTTACTACAACTTCGCAATACAGTATTGTACTGTTAGGTTTGCTGCTGTTGCTGTTAAGCGATTTTTGGTTTTATGTGTTTCGTTTTTTTATGGTCAATACATTTGAATTTGATATATTTGGTCATGATGCATATTAAGAAGCGTTTTGAAGAATATAACCTTAATGTTGACATTGGATCATTCAGTCATAATACTAGGAAAACATGTAATTTCAACATATAATTATAAAAAAAAAATACAAATGCCTATAACGCAAGCGTTTTCAAAAGGTACATCTTTCTTCATCAGGGGCAAACTGGAAATGACTAAATAAAGCTATGTGTGAGTAGAGGTGAAATGACGCTATGACAGACCAAAATTACACACAGAAATGTTTTGATTAGCCTTCAAGTGTGTTTCATTTCTATTGTGCAATATTCCAGGAAAATATAATTTTAGATATAAACTGGATAGAGAAGTTTTCCTTTCTTTCTCTTTATCCTGATTTACTCAATGTTATTGTCACAGGATAAGCCCAGAATACCTCAATTCACACTACTAAAATTATTTTCCTAACCTCTTCATTAAAGAATTACTTTCCCTTAACTTGTGTCTGTTTATTTGCTTTTAAATGCAGAGTTATACAATGAGCTATCTATTCACTGCTTAACGCGGGTATCAAAACCAGATTTTCGGTGATATTATCCTATATACTTACTGCTGAGGTACCAAGGTGCACCTGTTAATTTATGAATCATCCGGTTTAATAAACATTACATTATTTTAAAACTAACTTTATGAAAAGCTAAATTTCAGCTCAGATAAATCAGTCAGGCTGTATTGAAAATAGATGTAAGTTTATGGATCTAAGGCAATAGCAAAATATGCTCGTAGAAATAGCCTAAAATTAAAGCTCTTGCTAGAATAAAAGTCATGGGAAGTTTGTTTGTTTTAGAATTTCGCGCAAAGCTACACGAGGGCTATCTGCGCTAGCCGTCCCTAATTTAGCAGTGTAAGACTAGAGGGAAGGCAACTAGTCATCACCACCCACCGCCAACTCTTGGGCTACTCTTTTACCAATGAATAGTGGGATTGACCGTCACATTATAACACCCCCACGGCTGAAAGGGCGAGCATGTTTGGTGTGACGGGCATTCGAACCCGCGACCCTCTGATTGCGAGTCGAGAGCCCTAACCACCTGGCCATGCCGGGCCATATGGGAAAGTTAAGAAATGATTCATGTCTGAAAAACAGAAACGATACTCTAATAAATCTTAATGATTTGAAAATATTTAGCATTTAGTCATCACATAATTTGAAGTTTATTTTTTATTATTAATATCAATATTTACACAAAACTAATAGAGTTTACATTAGTTGTATGTATTGTACACAACTACGAAAAACTTTGGCTTTTGTATAAATAGATCAAACTAATTTTAGATCATTATTAAAATGCTTCATTCTTATATAGAAAAAGGCGAACTTTGTGGACAAGGACCAACAGCTGCTGCTAGCTTGTGTAAGCCAGGTCTGTCATGCAACAAGGATACTAAAAGATGTGACGAACGTAAGTAGCACGCTTGCATATCCTTACATCTGTACTAAATTAACTTGTCTGTTGAAAGCTAACCATCTTTGATGTGTATTGTTCGTTTGGTTGGTTTAGAATAAAACCACATTGAACTATCTGCTGGATCCACCGCAGGGAATCAAATCCCAAATGTTTGCGTTGCAAGTCTTTAGGCTTACCGCTGTCCTATCGGCCGTCCATTTGATATGTAAAATTATATGTTTAGTTTAATTGATTATTTGTTGATTTTACTATGTCACTAAAATGGTAGTAAGAATAATGAAATGAGGCATTTCGCACACAAACTATTTCACCACTGTAAAGTTTCTCAGGTGAAACCCAGAAACGTCTATTTTTATGTGTTTGTAAAGCATTTCATTATGGAAATAATGTGTTATCAATACCGCTATATTTGTTAATTGTTCGATATTTATTCCTAACTACCCTGGTGCATCAGTTAGAGTAGCATATAATTGGAATAATAAAGTGAAAAGTACCTAAAAATGTCGAATTCTACTTTTTACCCCCCACAATTAGAAAATGGACCATGTGTTGAAGAGCGAAATCATCGACTTTCCTTGTTAGAAAATAAAGATTATAACTTTACTGAATCCTTATGGCTTCCAGAATGTGACAGCAATGGCAATTTTAAGAAAAAACAGTGCAAAGGATCCAAGTATGTATTACAATAATATTTACGATGATATTAATATATACTGCAGTAGGGAATTTAACCTATACTATAATTCAGTCAAATGCGATTCTAATTTTATCTTTGTTTTTCTTGCGATTTTATATTTTATAATTTGAGATACCTAATATGCAATGGCTTTTTGAATTTTTCTATTAATGTACAATATCTACCGTAAAATAAAGGCTAATGTTAAACATGCACATAATAACTTCGGCACCATGTACCTTAGAACGTTTGATTTATTTCTGGAAAATTCAAACGTTGTATCTTTCGGTAATGATATTTTCTACCCATTCAGTCTATTGTAATCGAAGAGAGTGAAAAAAAATCAGAGTACGTGGATTAAACCTTTGTATATAAGTGTGCGTGTTTTAAACTCTTTATATCAGTGTATGTGGTTTTAAACTTTGTATATCAATGTACGCGATTTAAACTTTTTATACCAGTGTATAAGGTTTAAAATTTGTATATTAATGTACGTGATTTAAACTTCGTATATCAGCTCAAAAGGTTTGTATTATAATGAATTGTTGACCCAAACTCCAACTAATGCTCTAAACTTAAGATGCTTCACTTATCACTTCATCCCTCTATAATTCTAAAAGGTCGGTTTTATTCATTTCTCAACTCTTTGAAATGTATGGTTTCAGATTGAATTCTTTAAGTAATGATAAATCACAAATTTGAAAACTTCGTTTAGATCTTTAGTTCTTTTACGGATCCTAATTTCATACGTTTTACTCTTTTGTTCCATCGAACCTCCTCTCTTCTTGTGACGCAGGTGTCAATCATTTGGTCAGTGAGACTTTGGACTGCATCCTCTTAAAGGTCACATTTCTTGTCAGATAGAACTGATTCCAGATCTCTACCACAGGGTCAAAAATATAATAAAAAGTTCTACTTTTATGCAAATTAAGAAACGCATAATAATAATCGCCATTTTCAACAAAATAGATATTTATATATTATTACAAAAGAAACTAACCAACAGTGAGACCGTACACGTACATGGAGATGTTCACACAACACACCTACATACGTATACCACATTTATACACATAATATGTAGATATTTAAAGGTGTGATAAAAGATAATACATAAACATTGTAGCTTGTATTTTTTTACTTGTATTTGTTAAATACCTTGTGATCCACATTATTTTACTTGTATCTATTAAATACCTTGTGACCCAAATGATAACAAAACACAAGGATGTTATTGTAGGTCAATAAAAATATATTATGTTATTTTTCGCGTTGTTTCTGCTTGAAACTGTGACTCAGTACCGAAACGTGGATTATTGGTATTTCATTCTACATCTTTAAGAGTACTTTCCTTTTAAGATTTTTTTATAGGTTTATATCATATTATTTTGCCACTATTTTTAGGTGTCTGTGTTTTGATGAAAATGGAAACAGGATCTTTGGTCTAGCAGAAAGGGCTTTAGCCGAAAATATGACCTGTGGTAGGATATATAAATTTTATTATTGTCCCAAAAGAATATTTTTTTAGCTTAACAATACAAATCTGCTAGTATTAAACGACCTTTATAACATTCAACGTTTCTCTTTACAAATTCTTCAGGAACGTTTCTCTAAAACCCAAACCACAACTGACAGTACAATACTTCAATCAATAAGCTATAAACTATCTTCACAAAAGAAGGATCGGGAAATCTCTTTCGAATCTGGCCCGGCATGGCCAGATGGTTTGAGTGCTTGACTCGCAATCTGAGTGTCGCGGGTTCAAATCCCCATCCCACCAAACATGCTCGCCTTTTCAGCCGTGAGGGGGGGGGGGGGGGGGTTGTAATAATGTAATGGTCAGTCCCACTATTCGTTGGTAAAAGAGTAGCCCAAGAGTTGGCGGTGGTTGGTGATGACTAGCTGCCTTCCCTCTAGTCTTACACTGCTAAATTAGGGACAAACAAATCTTCCAAATATGGAAATACATTACCGTAGTATTGCTGAGGAAACAAAAAAAAAGACTGAGCACCCCTACAGAGGAAATATGAATTTTTCAAACATCATAATTTCAGATATTCAGAATCGATTAACCTCAGAGCCAAATCACTTTCATATCATATATGTTAGCCTACCACCCAACTGAAAATCCTAAATTATAAATAATTCATAAAGACAACATACTAAATATCATTCAGATTTCACTTAGTTGCATGGAGTTTCGTTAGAAAATAAAAATAAATATGTACATAGCGTTTCTGGGCAAAATATTTATGGGAATATAAATACATGTACATAAACAACAAGATAACAGTTTCTAGAAAAGTTTTATATTGTGCGATTTGTTGTCATTATACATTTTCTAACGTTATTGCGTAATACTTATTATTTTTCTTACGTTTATTTATGAAATAACGAATAACACCTTACTTAAAACTATTTTATTATGACTTATGTTTCATGATCCACTTAGAGATCTACTCATTAGTAAATAACCCTTGCACTAGTTTCATGACAACATGAATAATATATAGATATCACTGTACTCAGACGATTTCCTATGGCATTCATTAAATACATCATTTTTTGTTGATTGATTTAAGTACTCAAGTTTTCTTTTCTAATTGAAATCTACGACACCAATGATATCGTAATAAAATATATAAGCTATTTTTTCTGAGTAATTCATGTAAACGCAAAATAATCATATCTTTATATAAACTGCTTCAACATTTGTTTTAGTGTGGTGTCAGCAAACATTGTTATTTATTGTGGTTATGAAAATCGTCTTTAAAGCTTTTGAGCAACATTTTCACACAGAGTGTTCTCGAGAAATGTGGAAAAGAAAAAATGATGAAGGTCTTGAGTGGATGACATCTCCTCACGAACATTGTGACTCTATGGGGAACTACGACGAACTTCAATGCAAAGATGAGATATGTTACTGTGCTGACCCAATAACAGGAGATCCGATGGGAGAAGCTACCCACATAGCTGGATTTCATCTGCTTTCTTGTTGTAAGTCCACTTGTTCTAAGTTAATTTTAAACATACGTTGGGAAAAATGAAACATCAAAGGCTATGTGCTATCTTATTTTTTTTTTACTTGTCACTCGAATTAATAATGTTTTTAAATACACTGCAAGAAAACAGTTGAATGATACTTTGAATTTATAATATTTTATCGAAAAGGTAAAAACTGATGTTATAAAAAATGTCAGTCATTCCTCTGACTTCATTCTTATGAAAACCAGGTAACAGATGATCCGTTATGTGATCTGAAATGGAACTTCTTACATTCGAAATGAGTAATTTATAGCTTTATATTTTTATACTTCATGATATTTTACTTCAATATGATGTATGGTCACCACGAACAGTAAAGTCAGTCTAGCACCAGTGTTGCAAACCTAAACTCGGAGTGATGAGAAGATCCAGAGTTATTTTTTACCATTATCCTGAAATATCCGTTTCAGGGAACATTTAGTGTCTGGCGTTACTTGATTTGAAACGACACTTCTTTCAAGAGTATTCTATAATGCCGGAAAGGGCTGACCTCCGGCAAGTAAACAATCCCACCTCTTCAAGAAAAGTGACAACTGGTTAAACATGGCATGAGCACTATGCATTAAACTGAAACCAGGGTCAATTGCACCTGTATCTGGCAGCGTAAAGGGTCGTATAATATGGTTCATATAACATGTGGTATCAATAGCATCATCATTCGACAGGTTCGTTCTTCTACTAGTGCTCGTTTTTACACATTGTGACATCTGTAGCCAATTTACGTCAGATGCTGTGACTGGCCTGCTTCCATTCGTCACATTAGTGACATCTTCAGGCGTCTACTCTGAGGTCTAACCATGATTCATGAAACATTTAAAGTACTTTAAAACTGTATTTCACAACAAGCGGAAGGATGAGAAGAGACGGTGCTTAATTACTACAAATATAAAAGGCACTAACTGACTGATCATTTATTTTAGATCAATGATTGATCATCACTAGGCTGACTTGAATAACGAAGTGTTGAGAAAAGAGGTGATTAAGGTGGAGTATGAACACAGTATCAAACATGGCGTCCTTAACATCCAAAGAGGAGCCAGGAACACAAAATTTGATGCCAGATTTGACTCAGCGACCCTGAAAACCTACTCTTTTGAACTCCACCATGCATAAGTGACATTTCAGATGCGTTTTAGCTCCTCTTGTTATTCTCCTTCGTAGGGGGCTACGGCATATGGATAAGGACAACCTATGAGCCAACCCGAGTCTTACTAGCTCTCGCTGTGGCAGGAGTTCTCAGACAAATAAATTCACACATGACGTGAATTAAGAAAAATAGTTTACAGTGACGACATTTTATAATACGTAATTCAAAATATATTTACCGATATGATCAAGAAATAGCGTTTTAAGTTCTGTTAGATGAACAAAATATGACTTGAATGGGTAATCGTATTTATCTTAATGTTTTTATATTTGGTCGTCTAGTACAAGATTAGCCTTCTAGAAAACATTGACTGAGCATGAACCTCCTACAATATTTGCATATCAGCTTTAGAATGACAATAGCTTATCAGTTAGTGAGCACGAACCACATACGTTATTTATTCATCATATCTAGAATGACTTTAGCCTCTCTGATTGCGAACATGAACAACCTATTTTATTACGTATGGGCTCTAGAATGATTTTACTTATTTGCTAATGAATACAACCAACATTATTTATATATGAGATTAAGAATTATTTTAACTTATCTGGCAGTGAGCATGATTCACCTACATTATTTATATATGGGATTAAGAATTATTTTAACTTGTCTGGCAATGAGCATGATTCACCTACATTATTTATATATGAGATTAAGAATTATTTAAACTTATCTGGCAGTGAGCATGATTCACCTACATTATTTATATATGGGATTAAGAATTATTTTAACTTGTCTGGCAATGAACATGATTCACCTACATTATTTATATATGAGATTAAGAATTATTTTAACTTATCTGGCAGTGAGCATGATTCACTTATATTATTTATATGTGAGATTAAGAATTATTTTAGCTTATCTGGCAGTGAGCATGATTCACCAACATTATTTATATGTGAGATTAAGTTCACTGTTATGAACTTAGCAAAGATTTCAAAGTGTCCTCTACTTATAAGATCCTTACACTTATGTTGAAAACGACCGGGAACTTAAATCAGCATGTTCTTATATTCAGACTGTTAACTTCATTGTGGATCCAACATAACAAATAACATTTAGGGAATTTATGTTCATATAACACTTAGACGTTTTTAAGATAGGTGTACGGTCCTTATACCTGAAATAATACTGTAATATCATGCAAGTATAGAAACATATCTCAGCTCCACTTGAGGGTACGTACTATGACATAACTTATCTAACTGGCTCTAATCAGAATAGCTTGTTTTTATGTAAGAATAATGGGGATTTTTGTTTTGTAACATTTTGAAACTGTTTTGAAGTATAAATCTTATTGTTTGAATAATTTTAATTACTTGGTTTATAATGTTTATTGAAAGGCATTTTTAGCAAAGTTTTCTTATTATTTTCTCTTCATTTCTGAAAAAAAATAACTGTTTAATTTAAAATCCTGATAAACTAATATTTTAACCAAGGTTTTCTTAAAAGACAGTAGTATATAATTGTTAAAGTTAAAATACAGTAAAAGATTTATTAGAGATTTCACATTCAAATTTATCATCTTGTTATGATTAAAGAACTCTAAGAATGGAATTTGGTGGCTTTACTGATGTTCAACAGTAAATTTGATGTCTACCGTTAAGACAACTTAAAAATGTTCAACAAGTTTATTATGGATAATAGCTTTGTTATCTTCATAGAAGCTGAGCATGTTGAGAGTTTTTTAAAACTGTCCTTACATTATTCATACCAATATTAAATCATATAACACATCCTGAGAAACCTCATTGTGTTGGCTTCTAAAGTCAATTATAAACATTCCAAAAACATCTCTGTGACTCGAGTTTTTCACATAAAAACACCTTTAATTTTGAAGTATGATTGAGCCTCCATTAGCTTTAGCTCCTTGTTTATTAACTTGTTAAACTACGGAGACATGCCCAGCTTCATCACGATGGCGTTTCGTATGGTGATGTGTAATCCGGGATTTTACTTAGCAGATGAGAGCGTTTCTCTGGATGAGCTTGAGGTGTGGTTTCAGAGACCATCGTTGTTAGTTGTTTTTTTGCTTCATTGTTGAACATTGAGGGTCCGCATCTTTCAAATATTTTACTATTAGGCTGTACATTGTTTACAAATTTAGCTACACCAATATTTTTCCTTCAAAAGACACAATATTACTCCATCCACAATCATCTATGACAGATTAAACTGTCTAGTTGTCAGAAATTCTACAGCATAATACTGCCATAAGTGACAGCCTAAGGTTATTGTGTTCTGTTCAATTCTGAGTAGGTTATTTTTTTGTGGTTTTGGCTTCAGGTTATTGTGTTTTGTTCAGTTCTGAGTATGTAATTTTTTGTTTTTGCTTTCAGGTTATTGTGTTTTATTCAGTCCTGAGTATGTTGTCTTTTTTGGTTTTGGTTTCAGGTTATTGTGTGAGGAAAATTATATTTTGATTTCCACCCCCCACCCCCACACATACACACACACTGTTTCTTCCATTAGCATTCATTCACTATTATTCAAAACCAGGTGAGCTGGTAAGTTTCTCTTGTTTCCTTGTCAAAAAGCGGACGACTTTCGAAACGTTGTCTTCTACACTTGTATCTCTACAACAGGCAGTTGCCGTCCATTCTAGAAAGTTCCAAATAACCCTTTGTAATAGTGAGTATAGGCTGTCTGTGTGAATTATACCGATATTTATGACAAAAAAAAGAGTTTTGAAAATTCAACTTTCCATTCATTCTCATTTTGTATATACTACATGTTTCAGATGTTAATTTTGAACATCTGATACACTTGAGATAAATGTTACAATGTTGTGCTTGTACAGCACAAGTTATATTAAAGTAAAAATACAACAGGTACTGACAATACGATTTGTTTCACCATTAATTTACCAAGTTGTTTTATTTTTACTCTTCACTACCAGTGGGGTCTATATCTTGCATCATATTGAGTAACTTCATGTTTATTGGCTCAAATTGTTTTAAAAAATCCACAGACAACATTAGTTTATTATTATTTTGAGTACAATGCGCGTCATAAAAGATTATTTTATTTGTGTAGATTGTTTAAAACTGCAAAGATAATTTTAGTATATATACTTTGTTGGCAAAAATACTTAGCATGTTACAAACATGTCTCTCAGCTGTAGACCATCCCTGATATTTCAAACATTTTAAGTTAGGCATTTGTGACGTTCCTATTCACAGATATAATTTGTAAGTATTAAGCTTTATAAAAAAAAATATTGCTTCATTTGACAATATACTCAATTTCATAGCATTATAAGTAAATAACTGGACGGATATTTTTGGTGTATGTCGTTGTAGTCATGGTTTATTTTACGACCATATGACCTTTACTAACCCTACTAAGTTATGTTTTATAATACTTTTGCAAACTTACTACGGGATATTTATCAATTCTGTATAGAGAGAAAGAATAATTCCAAAACAAACTATCATATTTTAGAAGTGAAATAAACGTAGTCATGATTGAATATTTAATCGTTAGTCAGTCAATATACATGTTATTGTCATATGGGCCCTATATCATATTTCGGTACTCGATTACTTCTTATATATAATATATCTGTTTTTATTCAACTAGGACACGAATTCAGATATAAACCAGTCGAGTAGGATTGACGTAAAACTATAATAACCAGTTATTAGAAATGTCAGTGTCCATTACCGAGGTGCATGTGAAAAAATATTCTTGTGAGCTAATCCTCTGGCTTCAATTTACTTCAATTCCTACAATAAAACTGCTCTGCCCAGTCTCTTCTTTAATATATATATACATCCTTTTTTTGGCTATTACTGCCAAAATGCATTCAAATTTTCGGTTTCAGTCACCTTGCATGTTTCGTTTTTTCATATAACTTCATCCTTTTGGACACAATTTCACCGTTAACTAACATTTTTTGCGAGATACTTACTAACCACGCAAAGTTGACATGTCGTTTCACTCACAACTTAAAGTACCAGGACAGAGCAATTTATCTGGCTATTAGTTGTTGTTTTTTTTCAAAACTAGAATGCTTAGGTAATTTTTTTCTTTTTTTTCTCTAAACAGACAACGAAGAGACACATGGAAAAACGTATTTGCGGCAATGTGAAAAACAACTTTACAGAGCCCAGTCTCTTACGTACCAATTCCATAACAAAGGTATCCGAATTTTAGGCCTTGTAAATATAGCATGTGGGTTGGATGGAACATTTGACCTTAAACAGTGTCAACCTGACAGGTAAGGAATGGGATCTTTCTAGCTTGCTTCTTGTTGATATATTTGTCTTAGCAATAAGTAATTACATTTGTATTTGAACTGATAATATTATACACAACCGATTTAACTGTTTACTTTTCGTTTTTCGATAGTAAAGGCCTGGTATAGCCTGGTGGCTAGAGTGGGGGCCTTGACTTGCAATCTACGGGTAGCGGGTTCGAATCCCCGTCACTGAACATGCTTGCCTTTTCAGCGTTGTAATGTGACGATTATTCGTTGGTAAGAAAGTGGCCCAAGAGTTGGCGGTGGGTGATGTTGACTAGCGGCCTTATGCTTATTCTATCACTGCTAAATTAGGCAGAAGTTTTATGCAAAATTCAAACCAAAGTTTTCGATGATTTTTGAATATTAATTGAGAACGATAATTCGTTAATTTAATTTACTCCGACATGAACTTTAGGATTGTTATTATTATTCTAAGAAAACTAGATTAATGTTATACTAGTAAAGACCTACAAAATATGTGCGGTCAAATTAGTATATTTAATGCAACAGTACTTCTTTAAATACAAGGTTTCTATCAATAAATAAACTTATAATGTTATTGCACAAACTAACGTCAGACCTTTCTAAAAATTTATATAAGCTTTTAATATATTGTACAAAGAGTCTACTAAAATATATTTATATCGGCCTGTTATTTACACCCGTTGAAATGAAATATGTGCACACGGGTTTTTAGACAGTAAGATGCGCATGCATTTTCAGAACAGATAAAAATAGTGTTATTATAAAAAATATGTTAGGGGTAGCCTTTTTGTACTTTTATGCTTGTTAGATTTAAGAAAGTGTAAAAACTTTAATGTGTTCTGGTATAATTGCATTATTATTTGAAAAGGGTTAATATCTTTGCCATGTTGGTTGTTAAAATTTTATACTCTTGAAATAAATTTAAGAATATCACAATCACAGAGGACAAAATGTTTTAAAATTAAAACAAATGACATAGTATACGTGAATGATGTTGAATATAATTGTTTGTTTGTTTTGTTTAATTTCGGATAAAGCTACTAGTGGGCTGTCTTCGCTAGCCATCTCAAGTTTGAAGTGATAGACTAGAGGGAAGGCAGCTAGTCAATACCCACCTCTAATTGGGCTACTCCCTTATCAAAGAATATTGAGATTGACATTATTAAAACCCAATGGCTGAAAGGGTGAACATGTTCGATGACGGGATTCGAGTCCATGAAACAGCAGATTGCGAGTCGAGTGCCCTAACCGCCAGATCATGCAAGCCTGAATATAATTAAATAGACGCCAGGAGCAGAGAATACCGAAAAAAAAATAAAAAAAAACATTTTAAACTTTATAGTTTTCTTCTGTTATTTACATAGAATTCTATAAAATAAAGTACTGGGAAATTTAATCTATTTACACTTGATAAAGATTGTAATTCGAATGTATATATTTAAATCGCCCAAGACAAAAACAAAACAAAGAGAAAATATTATAAGAATTGCAGAACAGTTGTAAAAAGTATAACCTTGAGAAAAACAACAGCGGAAATAGTACCAAAAAGGTGTTAAGGATATTATGCTTCATCCATTAAATGCCTTTGCGCATATGAACGTTCTTGCATGCTATTGAAAAAAAAAAAGAGAAAGAAAAATGAGTAACTAATGGGTAGATAACGTTGTTGACATGGTAATAATCTGATAATACTAACGACAAAATAAGAAAGCAACAACTAAAATAATACTAAGTATCTGAAACCTTACTCACCCAATTATTCTACATTAGGAAATACACCCAACCACCATCCAATAACAAACCCAACCACCATCCAATAACAAAACCAACTATCATCCGATAACAAACCCAACCACCATCCAATAACAAAACCAACTATCATCCGATAACAAACCCAACCACCATCCAATAACAAACTCAACCACCATCCAATAACAAACCCAACCAACATCCAATAATAAACCCAACCACCATCCAATAACAAACCCAACCACCATCCAATAACAAACTCAACTACCATCCAATAGCAAACCCAACCACCATCCAATAACAAACCCAACCACCATCCAATAACAAACCCAACCACCATCCAATACCAGACCCAACCACCATCCAATAACAAACCCACCTATCATCCAATAATAAACCCACCTATCATCCAATAACAAACCCAACCACAGGCCAATAACAAACCCAACCACCATCCAATAATAAACCCAAACACCATCCAATAGCAAACCCAACTAACATCCAATAACAAACCCAACTACCATCCGATAACAAAATATAAATATTGCAAAACATAATATAATTATACTACGTTACCTGCATAATTCGATGACGTGTGTGATATATGTTATTAACCCGAGTTTATTATTAATTATACTACGTTACCAGCATAATTCGATGACGTGTGTGATGTAATAAACTCGGGTTAATAAGATAACACGTCATCGAATTATGCTGGTAACGTAGTATAATTAGATCGAATTATGCTGGTAACGTAGTATAATTAGTAATAAACTCGGGTTAATAAGATACATCACCATCACACACGTCTAATAAACTCGGGTTAATAAGATATATGTCTGGATTACATAAGTATGTATTTCAGATGTTCCTGCACGAATAAGTTTGGGGCATCCATCAAGAGTTATACGAAGGAAAAATCTTCAGGAATCACAAATAAAATGATTTGCGGTGAGTAAAATTTATTTATTTGTCGATCAATCTCGATTTAACGCTCAAAAATATTTAAAATTTTGCGTTCGCTATTCAAATATCATAATTTCTTTTTCCTTTTGCTTTTCTTACGGACAGTAATGACGACTTTATTAAATTAGAAAAAAAAAAACATAAGTTCTTCTGATAGCGTGTAATATTGTCTAAACATATATATTAAACTTGGTTGGTTCTTATTGTTCTGATTTTAGTTGTTCATTGCCAAATTTCACTGATGGTAATGTTAAAAGAGCTTTTACTGGTTTTGTAATAAAAATATCGATATAATTTACAATATGTTGCCTAAAGTTTCAAACCAAGTAATAAACAGTTATGGATTTTGCTTTAAGTAGCAGTATTTGAAAAATGGACAAAGATGAAATATTAATAAAAACATTTATATTTACTTATAAAGTACTTTTGTGGCAACTATTAAATTTGAGGAATATTTTTAAAATTTCTAGTTTAATAAGTTTCAACCTGTGTGTTTGTGTATTTTTTTTTACAGCAAAGCCACATCACACTATCTGCAGTGTCCACATAGGGGAATCGAACCCCTGACTTTAGCGTTGTAAATCCGTAGATTTCCCACTGTCCCACTTTCGAATTTAATTTTCCTTATCCTTTGATTTCAACAGTTTTACTAATTGAAGAGGTTTAATCACTTTTACAACTTTTTACTTCTCAACACATGAAATACTAAGTTTTGGGCGATAGTTAGCTGAATCATTAAACTCGAAGAACGATTTCTTATTAGACCAATAATTAATTTTTCAAATCTTTAGAAGTTTCATTCTCAAATGGTTCCACCAAATCTTTTTATCGGGATCTGGGAGGGTTAGGTTTGATGTTCCAATTATTGTTTGTTTGTTTGTTTTGAATTTCGCGCAAAGCTACTTGAGAGCTATCAGCGCTGCCCATTCCTAATTTAACAATGATAAACTAGAGGGAAGGCAGCTAGTCAAAACCACCCACCGCCAACTTATGGGCTACTTTTTTTTTTTACTGGTTCCTACTACTAGTGATATGTAATTAAGTTTCACTAACTGTCTTTTCCACCAAAAACGTAAAGTAAAGCTGTTTGGTTTAACTATTCGAGATTTCTAATTTGATTGATCTTTTTCAAGAAACAAAATAAGAAGAAGGTGAAACGGTACAAATATGAAAAGCTTTGGAATATCGAAAGCTAAACAATGTTTAAGCTGGACTGTATTCGAAATCTTGTACTCTTAATTACAGTCACTTAGCTTAGGGACATTTTCAAAGTAACCTTACGGGAATTAATATTAATTTTTCTTTTAAATAGCCTGTGCACGAGATCAAAACGACATAGAAACAAATCATGCACGATATCCATTGTTAGATTGCACGGACCTAGGAAACTTCAAAGAGTACCAGTGTTTTGGAGATGAATGTTTCTGTGTAGATAGAGATGGAGTGCAAATTAGCCAAACCGAGCAGTTGGTACCAGAAGTCGTAGGAAACTGCATAAAGATGGACAAATGTCTGTACGAAAGCAGTGAATGTTAGGCCTAATATTTCAAACTTCTTTGTGGAGTCTATAAACCTTGCATACGATTCTACATGGTAAAGAAAATTTCAGTATATTAACTGTCGTGAAAACAACAAAATCATGAAACTTTAATAGCTATACGTGACTTTGTGATAATTTCTTTACAAATTATTCATAAAATAAAAATTCTTTAATAGTTCTCTAATTATCAATTATGAAAATCATTATTTACATTGTATATTCAAAGAGATTTCAATAAATGAATATATTTTTTACACAATGTTAAATCGAGGAAGCATGAACAAGACAATCCTGGTAATTATCAGAAACTTCTCTTTAACATTTTACATTATTTAAATTCTTAATGATGTAAAGAGAGACAATGATGGAAACTATAATAAGAGTGGATGTTTTTCGTTATATGCTAGAATAACTTTATTGCTTCAATTTCCATATGTTTTTCTCATGAAAATATTTCGAGTGTGTGTGTTTTTCTTACGGCAAAGCCACTTCAGACTATCTGCTGTGTCCACCGAGGAGAATTGAACCCTTGATTTTAGCGTTGTAAATCCGTAGACTTACCGCTGTCCCTGTGGGGGACAAATCTTTCGACCGTATATCAAATCTTCTTCTTCACATGTTCGAACGTATCTATAGATGATAATGGAATTAACCAGGTATTGTTGATAAAATATCAGATCAGAGGACCTCTATATAAAAAAGAATGGTTAGTATTAATTATATTATTTCCTTCAAACTCATTTCAACTGTTTAATACGAACTTCTCTCCTGTTTCTTTCCTGCTCTTTAATTATATTATAATTCAAAGTTTTACTTTGTTATTGATTTAATAATACACTCTAGTTAGAAAATCACACAGTTTAGATTATTCGTTAACTATAGGTAAGCATCATATAACTTTGGTTTTCTAACCCAAAACCGAGATTTAAATAAGACTATTGAACATTGGACTATTATACGTGCTCTTGCCCCCATATCTTTCTTGAAGATGGTTTTTCATATGCTTATATTTCTCAGCTTATGTTGCTCAAAACAATTTTCATAGTAAATATGGACAATATTTAGTTTCCTTTCCCCTTACTAATTTTTCTTTCGGCAACTAAAGAATATTGTCTATTTCTTTTTCCTCATTTTCTGGGAAATTTCTTTGCAGCTCTTTTATGTTTGTTGATTAGAATGCTGGCTTGCTGCTAGAAATAGGATTCAGTCTACAACAGAAAATACGTTTATGACCATAATGTCAGTAAGAGATGAATGAACTTCCTGGGTTGACTAAATTATTTTAATAATAACAATATAGATATGTCAAAGAAATTAGAATCATAATTGGTTCAATGTAATTAAGATCATTCAGCACAGAAAATTAATTTTGATGAGTTGGTACTTTGTTTGCATTTTTTTGCGTTTTGAAATTTTGTGCTTATCTTTCGGACTAATAATCGTGTCACTATGACGTAGCATTCAAACACTTTATTTTGTTGTTTTGTTTGTTTTAATTTTGCCAAAAGCTACTCGAGGGCTATTTGCGCTAGCCAACCTTAATTTAGTAGTGATAAATTACTGGCTATTTCTTTATCATCGAATAGTGGGATTGACTAATACATTATAATGCCCCCACGGCTGAAAGGATGAGCATGTTCGTTGACGGGGATTCGAACTCACGAAAGACAGGTTGCGAGTCGAGCGCCCTACCCACAGCTATTTTGAAATTGCCTTAGTGTTTTCGCCATTATTTATGTAAATATAAATTAACCAATGAAGTTAATGTTGCTAAATGTAAAAATATATATTTTTATTAAGACACACGGCAGTGTGTCATCCGGCCACAACAACCTGCATGACACTGTGTGTTATTAACAGGAGGGATAGTTTAGCGATTTTCCACTTGCTGTAGCTCTGGCTGTGGTATTCCAAACTTTCATATATTTTCAGTGGATGTGCTCTACTGAATCCTTACTTCACGTACCAAATTTCAAGACAATCCATAGAGAAATGCACTAGCTAAAAAATCTCTAACTTTGATTGAAATTATTATTTTTAACCGCAGCATAGCGGCTCATGTAATGTCGATGAGTTTTTTTTCTCAAGTACAAACTTTTAGCTCATAGCTGCATCTCTTTACCGATTTTAGATCTAATTGCAGCCGCGGCTACTGAAGATTTCCTCTTGTTTTTTCTTCGCACCGAAAGTACAGAAACTTTATTTCTTAGTAAAACATACTTAATTTTTATGGATTTTTTTTTCAAGTTTGATACACTGATACATCCTTACAATCTACAATTAGATATCAAATTTGGTCTAAATATAAGCCACATGTACAAAATTATTTATCAAAAAATAGTTCAATTTTGACCAAAACGCTTGCGCACGCCTACACAAAAAGACACGTGAGTTATCCCTCTAATATTTTTACTACAGCTAACCCTAAGATTAAAAGTGCACCGTTTTTAGTTTTTGTCATTCCGATAAAATACAGCTTATTTAGAGCAGCAAAGCTGTAGGGTGAAAGCACGTGCAGATACATAAGTATTGCTTAGGCCAAGTAAATTAGATTAGCAGTTTCTAGCTCGTGTTTTCAAAAGAAGCTTACGGGTGAACGGTTATTATTCATTATTCACTTCCAACTTTTAAGCATAGATTTGTTACATTTTATGAAATTATCCTAATTAAAGAGCGTTTAGCGTCACGTGATATTAGTCTAAGCAACTAGCGTATATAATTATGCGTACATGCGGGTGATGACAATAAACTATTAATCTAGATTCCATAGCGTTACTATAAAGGAAGTTATTAACATTGTTTCAGAAAAAATAGACCACCACCATACATATTTTAAAGAATCTTGTTGATCCTGTAAAGTATAGACCTGTTCCAAATAATGTTGGATACTAACGATCGAGTGTCACATTTTTAGTTGCTGCGTTTTGTTGACGTGTATTGACAAAAAAATCATAATATTTAGTCAAAAACACCTTACATGTGAAAAGAGTTGCGGCCAAAAAAGGATTAAGCGTGCGACTTAGAAAAAGGAAATAAAAATTGGCGAGCAAACTGGTAGCTACACTTATAGCATTGATGCATTGATAAGAATTTTTACAGTAAATATTCATTCATTCGTTAGATAGGCCACGTATTTTATTTTACCTGCCATTATGCCCCAAGTTGAAAAAAAATACGCTACCTGGCTAACAAATGAATGAATATTTGCTGTACAATTTTTATCAATGCTATACATATAGCTACCAGTTTGGGCGCACTTTTTTTCACTCCTAAGGTGTTTTTGGTTAGATTGTTATTACATGAACAAAAACAAAAGCCGATTGAATTTGATGAACATTATATAAAATGTAATTACTACTAAAACGAACCTAACAAGTATGTACTTCAAATTTTCTTCCTTTTAACCACATAAACTAATGAATACTATTTTAGACATACACACATATAAGCAACCAATAAGTACTCTATATGAATTTTAGCTTATTTAAACCTCTACCAAATAACTGTACTTTTTAAGCCTCATTTTTTATCATTTTCTGAATAAGAGTTTTTGTTTTCATTAAATTCATTTGCTCGATTCTCGCTGAATTACAGATTCGACATTTAAATTGAGGTCACTATTCCTACTAGCTTGGCTAATCTTGGTTTGAGTTTGGCAGAAAGTTATGGGTATACGTCTCACTCCTACCAAATTGAATATATATATATATATAAAACTAAAAAACGAAAACTCGTCCCATAACCGGTTGAGATCTGGAAGTTCGAGCAATATCAACTCACACCAACCTAGCTGCATAGATAATTTTATTCTTAGACACTATTTTTTCAGTAAAAAAAACCCAAATATTTATTTATAAAAATACTAAAATAATTTATTTGTTGAGATATATATATAATTTATAAGCCTAATTTTCAGAGATTTTATAGAAGGAGAATCTGTGACTTTTATATAAGATTGAAACATATTTCACAATGTGGTTGTGATTTTATCGACCAAGATAGATCGAAACTTAATTGCACACAATCACAGTAGTTGATGTCATGTTTCGTAACCTGGTGATATAATTTATATTCATTCATTAATTTTATAGTAGGAACTAGTAAGTCCTACCTGAATATTTAACTCTGGTGTGATTGAGACAGTAAAACGGATATCTACTAATTCTAAAGCCTATAACATCGATAATTCAAACAGCGTTTTAAGAAGTTGCACCACAACTTTCCAAAGACAATTCATATGAATTTGGCGATATCCTCTCTCTGTTGGCTCAATCGGATTCGATTTCTGTCGTAGGCAGAGCAAAAATGTCCAATTCCGTAGGATTTGGTAGGATTAGAGCACAAAACAAAGTGTTTTAGTTATACTCATTTAAAGCGTAGACCGTCTAGAGCTATTAACTAGGCACTTTAATAAGTTTCTTCTAGAGTATACTCGGACCAGCGCTCAAAAATAGATTCTTTAATAAGAAGTTTTACGTAAAGAACACTCGGACCAACGCAGAAAACAAAGGTCTGTAATAAATTGCATCTAAAGGGCACTCTGACCAACGCAGAAGTCAAGGTACTTTAATAAGGTTCATCTAAGGTACACTCGGAGCAACTCAGAAAATAAGATATGATACTTTTATAAGTTTCATCTAAAACACTCTGACCGGCGCACAAAACAAGGTTCTAGTTTCAATCAGAAAGCACTTAGACTCTGTCGGGTTCAATACAATGCACACCAGTAAGTAGATTTTCTATATAGCTTTTTTTTTACATTTTGAACTTGTGTAAGCCTTATATCAATTGTTGCTGTTTGATTATTTAAATAATTTCATACTATTTAAAGCTATTTCTTCACCGACATTACTGTTCTGTGTCTTACCTTGGTGAATTGTTTAAAATGGAAAATTCTTTGCACAGGATTGCTTAATTAATCTTTTGGCTATATAAATGAGAAATCTGAGTCTTATATTAAAAAAAGAAGTTACAGAAATTCCAGTAGGATTTAGATAAGCAATTAATTATACTTTTATATTTTATTGGATATATTAATATAATTAATAATGTCTTAGCTTTGTTCCCTGGTGGGTCAGCAGTAAGATTATGGACTCACGATACTAAAATCAGAACTTCAATTCCCACAGTGGACAGAGCGCAATAGCCAATTTATCTTTGAGCTCAAACAACAGTAACGTCAGTGCTATAAAATAAATTTTCAGACCAAATTATTAGCTTTAAAAATGTTTTTCTTCTTGTCAATCTAAATACAATGTATGATGTTTACAGTAGTTTATTTAACACTATTTTATTAAAATTCAGAATATGCTGTTAGCCCTATCAGAATGTTGCAATTTTCTTTTCTTTAAAGTACAAGGGCTTTGATATTTCTCCAAAGAATTAACGCTTGGTAACAAACCTATGATAATCATGTTGATTCCAAAATAATAAATACGTTTCTTTCTGTATTTGCAATTTAAAAATAAACGTTAATACAACATGGCTGTGATTAAAGATATTTTGTTTATTTATTTTCGGATATTCACGCAAAGCTACTGAAGGGCTTAGTTTGTGCTGATAGACTGCAGGAAATGTAATTAGCTAATCAACCGCATCCACTTCTAGCTCTTGGACTACTTACTGTCATATGATCAACTATTTAAGTTTGATCATTACACTTATAACTCCCTCACAGCAGTTTTTTTTTTACAGTAATGAAACGTTAACGATGGACTTCCAAATCCATAATCATTCGCTTTAGCCACTAGGCCAAACTCAGCCCTAAAAGAGAAAAAGATGTGATGAAACTTGATTTTAACTAAGATGTATATTAAACGAGGTTGAAGGCAATGAGTTTAGATAGTTAAATAACTTTCTTGCTTAAAAATATTTGACAGTAATGAACATTATTTTATGTCTATGGCTATTACTAAATAACTACAAAAGCCATAAAATTAGGGCTTCTAGACTGAATCTTGTTTTCTTAAACATTAAGTCACTCAACGACAAATGAAAAGGTTACAAGTAATTATGTATTTTTAATGTTTTCGAACTCTGACTAGAACTCTTAATAGACATAAGTTCTTCGGTAAATATATTGCTTCTCGGTGGCTCAGCGAGGGTCTGAGAGCTTATAACGATAAAATTCGAGTTTCGATAGACGTGGTGGGCAGAGTAAAAAGAGACTATTGTGTAGCTTTGCGCTTAACAACAAACTAACGAAACAAATGTGCATTTATGACTTCTATTTTCAGGCCATAATGTTTTGTTACTTTTAATTTCACTGCTGTATTGTTTCATTGCTACTTTTTGTTTGACTTGTATATATTGTATCTAGGTACTGGACACACTTAGAGATAGAGAAGCAGGAAACTTTGGTTAATGTTTTAGGGTAATTGTGAAAATTAACTGCGCTAGGCGCACACCGCGGCATTTATTTCGTTATCTTCATAGAAATGGAGGAACGTATTCATGTGCGACTTTCGCCGGTAGAAAGAGGAGGGAAAATTTAAGTGCTTGTCAAGCTCTTATAAATGAAAAGAAATAGTAAAATAAGGGTTGTATGATCTCTTTTGGTTGAGCTCAAAAATTCATGAAAGTTTCATTGTGCTCAGTGGTAGAGAAGTTTCTGTTAGAGACAGACAAACAAATACACTACCACAAGCTGCTTTATAATAGATAAGAATGCCCCCCCCCCCCGACGTGAAACTCTGGGAACTTACTGGTAAACTTGAACACAGTTTTACCTCATGATGTGATCAGAGGTGGAGAAGTTTCCATTAGAGACAGACTAACAAATACACTACCACAAGCTGCTTTATAATAGATAAGAATGGCCTCCTGACGTGAAGCTCTGGGAACTTACTGGTAAACTTGAACACAGTTTTACCTCATGATGTGATCAGAGGTGGAGAAGTTTCCGTTAGAGACAGA